GGTACACTATTCAGGATCCATGCATAACATTGTTATTAATTGGGTTTCATATTTATATATTTGGTATGCAACTGAAAGTACAAGTACATGCACCTACATTGTTGTGTATTAAATTTCAGATAGAGAAGGATACCTATACATTAGCAAACTGGACTACCTGCTGTTCTGCAGATAATTCTAAATTATTTAATGAACCAGTACAGTCAGTTCCTGTTAGTAGGATCAGTTTGGGCATCCCTTTCTCTTGATTGTTATATTTGAATGATCAATGCATGAAGATCCGCAAACCTGAGCTTCCTCAGGTCAGGCCTACAAGCAAAATCTTTGTCCTACGAGGAGAAAATGAGCTCTGTTAGGCAGTTAAGTGCCATGACAGGTCTATCAAGTTATAATTGGCTCTAATTGGCATTCACAGGAGCTCTGACATGCTCTACCTGCAGCCAAACGGCCCTCAGAAAGGCAAAGTCATGTCTCCCTTTATAAATAGCCAAGCAATCTCTTCTAGTCTGATCCTTGCAACTGGAAGGACTGATGCTCAACATCAGGAGCAAAGGACAAACACCCCAACCCATGTAGAAGAGCTTCTGGAAAGTAAGATTTAATGCACAGAACCAGCAGTAATCAGTAAAACACAGCACATTTTAACTCACATGCTGATTTGCTTGTTATTATGTGAGCCAGTATAATGTAAAACATAAAACTAGCTAATAAACTAAAGGAGGGTATTTGTAGTTTATGCACTTGTAGTGGGCTGTTTGAATTACCCGTACATGGAGAGAAGCCATGGATAATTCATTACCCAGACATCTCTAATTAATATGAAGAGGCTGCAAACATACTTGAGGAGAATGGCTGGTAAACAAACACAGTAAACACACTGCAGTAGTCACGTACCTGCCATTAGACTCCTCAGCTGAATGGGAAGATCTAGTTAACGGAAAAGATTTGGGTCTGAAGGATTAACTTTTCTGAAAGTTGAATGATACATGTTTGTGGCTTTGTTATGTCCCCTTGCTTTCCTTTTGAGTTAATTCAAAGGCTGTGACTGAAATTTCCTAACTGATTTTGTGATTTCAGATTCCTTTTTTTTTCCGTAATTGCCTATAATATGATCCAGTAGGTATAGGGAGGCCTGGGAGTCGGATTTGGGTTTTATTTCTGGTTCTCTCACTGAATCAACCTTCAGCAAGTGACTAATCCTAATCCTCTCTGTGCCTCAGTTTTTCTATCTGTTGAGTAGGAATACCAATGCTTACCACCACCTGCCATGCACACTTGATATCTATAGATGAGAATTCATGTGAATAGGTGAAGTGTGCCATTTTTACAAATATTAATAATTATAATTTACTTTGCAAACTGTTCATAAACAAGAGCCTCAGTGTTTTTTGTGTTTGGAGTCAAACGTAGGGAGGCAGTTAGACGGGCCAAAGCTACCATGGAGTGGAGGATGGCATCCCAAGCAAAGGATAACAAAAAATTGTTTTTTAGATATATAGGGAGCAAAAGGAAGGCCCAGGGAGGAATAGGACCCCTACTAAATGGGCAGAAGCAATTGGTGATGGACAGAGGGGACAAGGCTGAACTCCTCAACAAGTTCTTTGCCTCTGTGTTCCTAAGTGAGGGGCAAGACAAGTCTCTCACTGGGATTGTAGACACGCAGCAGCAAGTCGCCAGACTACCAAGCGTAGACCCTGAGATGGTGCAGAGTCACTTGGAAGAACTGGATGCCTTTAAGTCAGCAGGCCCGGATGAGCTCCATCCGAGGGTGCTGAAGGCACTGGCTGACGTCATTGCGCAACCACTGGCGGTAATATTTGAGCAGTCGTGGCGCACAGGCCAGGTCCTGGAGGACTGGAAAAGGGCCAATGTGGTCCCCATTTTCAAGAAAAGGAGGAAGGAGGACCCGGGCAACTATAGGCCAGTCAGTCTCACCTCCATCCTAGGCAAAGTCTTTGAAAAAATTATCAAGGCTCACATTTGCGAGAGCCTGGCAGGACAAATTATGCTGAGGGGAAACCAGCACGGGTTCGTAGCAGGTAGATCACACCTGACTAATCTAGTCTCTTTTTATGACCAGGTTACAAAATGCCTGGA